GAGAGAGAGAGAGAGAGAGAGAGAGAGAGAGAGAGAGAGAGAGAGAGAGAGAGAGAGAAAGGGAGAGAGAGAGGGAGAGGGAGAGAGAGAGAGAGAGTGTGTGTGTGTGTGTGTATGTGCGTGTGTGTGCGTGTGTGTGTATACAAGGGGCGCACCTCTCTGTCCCAGCCGTCCCAGCCCATGAGGGGTATGGCCAGGAGGGAGGGCACGTTGGGGTCGTCAAAGTCCGTCAGGGAGTGGCCCAGGCCATCCACCTGGCGGGGTGGTGCAAATGTGTAAACAGGGATGCAGCGGGGCGATGGGGGTGTGTTGGTTGGAGCCAACGCAATGGTTCGTGCGGAGCCGTGGTTCTGTCAAGCAAGCCTTTGAAGTGGGAACAATCTGCCCCAAGCTGGTTATATATGAAAAATCAAACGTGCACGCACGCGCGCGCGCGCACTCACACACACACACACACACACACAAATACACACACACACACACACACACACGCGCGCGCGTGCACACGCACGCAAACACGCACGCATACACACTGACTCATACGCAAAACACACAGTCACTCAAATATCCACAGAGCCGCGCGCACCTCATACGCATACACGCTGATCTCTGTCGCCTTGCCGTCCGCGCCCGGGTCACCCGGCACCTTGACAACTCCATGCCTGCATGAGTCCAGATACATCAGGGTGTGCCACGCATGGTTCGAGATTCAAAGGTGTCGCGCACAACGGCACAAGTGTACCATGGACGAGATGAGTTGACAAGAAGTGCGCACAGAATCTCAAAATGTGGATCTAGGCGCTCGGCAAGCCGCGAGAGGGGGACAACACTGCTTCCGCGCAAGCCACCGCGATCTGGCGCCCTGCCCGGGCTCTGTTTTGCGCTTTGTCAAGGGTTTAGGTTGTAGGTCTTATTTTCATGGCCCTAAACCACAGACCCTGCCTTTCCCAGGGGTATCAGCCGCCCTCACCTGGTGATCCCCTCTGTGATGTCGGCGAGAAGCTTCCGCGCGGTTTCCCCAATGAAGTCGTCGCACCACACCAGCCGGTTGAGCTCGATGATGCGCTGCAGGGCGCCTGGGGTGGTCATCACAGTGTTTTGGGGGGTTGCAATTCAATGTGAATTGGGAGGAGTAAAGTGTGGAGGCTGAGCCAGCAGCATTCGAAGGCAGCCAGGATGCTGCGGCGGCCGCGCTGCAGCGGGCAGCAGCCCGGGGAGGAGGAGTTATCCTCTTGCGAAGCGGCAGGAGCGGCCCCCGGCAACCAGGCGCATGCGGACGTGGCGGCCCACCGGCCACATATATGTTGTCTGGGATGGAGAAACTGTACTGCTGTGGGTCGTCGCTGGGGCGGAACGCGCTCCAAACCATGCCTGGGGGTGCAGTCGTTGATTTTGGGGGAGCAGGAGTGGGGGGGGGGGG